GCTCAGGATCTTTTCGACACAATTCAACGCGTTATTAGTGAGCCCAGGTAAGACCGATGTACAGCGATGATACAACAGTCATGTAGTGCTCTTCGCAGCCGGTGCTATGATGTCACGCAATGTTGCGTGACCTTGTTACGAGCGGCAAAGGGAGAGATCTGAGGAGACCACTGTCACGGTAATGATGGAAGGATCAGCAAATCTCCTCGGTGTTCTTTGAATAGTTCGTTATAGAACGTTTCAGTAAAATGTGATGATTTTCCTTTCCCTCCTCAGATTTAAAACAAAAGTGCTACACATCTCTATCCTGTTAAAGGATCGTCGACGAACACCTTTAGAAGAAACCGGCGACTGGCCATGGCTGGAGTATGTATTAGATACAAAGGGGCACAGCACCTCAGAGCCCAAGTGTTTAACATGCCATGGTACCAACACCACTTACTCGACGTCGTAGCATTTCTTGTTACCATAATAACATTAGTTTTCGTGGTGCTTTGGTTTACGTGTAGATGCTGTTGTCGTTTGTGTTGCAAACTGACTGAAAGCAAAGCTAAGAAAGAATAGATCAAAGAAACACTAGCCTGATTGCCCTGGGGGCCTGATTGCTATTTCAAAAGTGATGATGAGCGTATCATTACGGAGACATTGAGGTTTCGAAATGTAGTCTGTTAGATGGAAACATCATTTTTGTAGCAGTTATTCCATTTTCCATATGGCAAGTTCTGTCTCGCGCGCTCTTTCATTGAAAAACATTGAAAAACGCCGGAGCCGTTCACGTTGACGCAGTTTCCCCTTTCAATTAATAAGTAGAACTGGTCACCTCAGACGACCACCACAAACCGTATAATATTATCCAAACTTTAATGATTATTCGATCTAAGAGAAATACATTTGTAATTCGAAATCAGAAAACGCAAATTTAGTCTTAATTTCGAGGAAAAATTCAAGAAAACGTGACTGGAAACTTACTTATGTGGCGGGTCGTAGAAACAGGTTTCTCACTTCGATCGATCAGGTTAGCGGATTCGGGTAAGCGAACAGATACAAAAATCGACTTCTCTCTCTTACTGATTTTTCTGAAAAACTGGTTTAAATCACGAGAAGCTAACCTTTTAAATCATTGTGAGGAATTAATGTCAATCATGAGTTGTATTAATTAAATTATATCTGTCATCATAGGCAACGCCTATTTACTAAACGAAACAATTACAAAAGCAAAGCAAGTACGTGACTGTAATTATTAGGCATTTCATCTTCTTTTTTAAACACAGTTAACTTAACTGTATGTTCTCCCCGACACCGATTTACCCCCGGACACCAGCGAGAAAGAACTCCTAAAAAACAATGTGATGGGGCTGAGGACTCCACACTCTCCCTACTAACCCATCAAGTTCTGATTTCGTTCCCATGTGGAGTCCCTAACGAGAGCTTATACCACGCGCGGTTTGCTTTGAACGGGGAGTGGCATGCCTCAAGGAGGGGCTGTGGGCGGATACTGATGGCTAATCAGTCCAGCACTAACCCGTCCATATTAGCTTTAAACCTCCCCGCGGGGGTCATACACATAACGCTGACCTTACCGGTGAGTGACAAAAGCCTACTCTGCGGGTAGTGGTGAATGTCTTCTTTCTACGACTACCTCATCTCCGCTCAAATTGGCGTCGTTGACGTGTTCACTAGAAATCACACTCCTTGAGTAAATTACCGAAAGAGAATCACAGAGGTCTCGATACAAGGTAGAATTACTGGCGTAAGTGCTTTCGTTTTTTCTTGGAAAAAGGTTGGTGCTTTTCCGGGAATCTCCCGCTCAACATGAAAACGAGGCTAGCTAGAACCCAATCGCTTTTGGAAAGCTAGATTGCCAAACAATAGTAAAACTGTAATATCCCACGATTACTAGAGATTGTAACCTTTAATTCTCCAATTCCTTTTAATCGAAAGTCAGATGAATAAAGTTCATATTTATTTTATTTACTCTGTTGTCTGGACTGTTGGGACGAATTTTGGGGGCGGTTGATTTGGGTGACGCTACATCGAAGGCGTTCGTCAAGGGTCGAACACACAAGTTTATAGTGCAACGGTTAAATTTAAAATATGTCATGTAAGGTGTAACACTTGTTCTCCACAAAAGTTTCAAACCCGAAATGTGTAAGATCGTACTGAACAAAGGATAAAGATAAACAAAAACTAATAAAATTTTTTTTCAG